GAGTTAAAGGGAAATCGTTTTCAGAACGCATAAGAGGTTAATTTTAATTTTCTGGAGTCACTTAACTGAGTTAGTTCAGGATAATATAAAACTGATATAAACGACGGACAATCCGTTGAAGCAAGTACATATAATTTAACGAGCAGTATTTTCGAGATGAATTATTCTTAAAATGTAATCTTCAATAAAAGCTTATGCAAATAATCCTCGTTTTATGGACACCTCCTCGTACACCCACGAGAGTAATTGGGCAACTAGGCGTCTTGATTCGGGTGATAACAAGACGCCAATGCAAGACAGGAAAAATTTACTTTGGTTGGGCTTTGCTAACCCAGCTGCCATTCCGTCCTTTAATTTACTCATGAAGACTTTTCGGCTTACTCCCGTAAAATAAATTCGATCTATCGATTACTTGTCCTGATTGATGGCAGCTTCAGTGTGACGACAAAATGTATTCTTTTAAAGCCAAATGAGTATTTGCACATATTGGCGAGCAAGGTAACAAAGATGCGTTTTCCCGTCTTCAAATAAGCGTGCTTGGACTACTTCCTATTAATTTGGATGAATAAGATGAGAAGACATCTAGTTTCCTTCTAATTCGTTCAAGACAGAAGATGCCATGACTTCTAGTCTGTTTGACACTTCTGATACGAAATAGTTACACGGCTCTTGTGTCTGCTGCGACGTGAGGGCAGGGTAGACCTCAGGGGCAACAATAGCGCGGTGGAGTTGACACTGAAGAGCGAGCATGCTGCAGGGGAATATCAAGATGAAAATGAAGCATGAAGGGGACAAGCAAACAGAAGCACAACCGTGAGAAGAAACAAAACTTTCTAGAACCCCTAACGAAAAACTTATATAAATACCTGACTTAAGGAGGATATCGTCTCCATTAATTACGTTTGTATAGGAACTGGGAATGCTCTATAGCACGGCGACAAACATAAAATACACGAGCTTACACTTTAATTCTAATTTTAGAGCAAGGGACAAAAGTAAAAGACGATGTCCGTATAGCGTATGCTTCTCGCTGGTAGACGGCACCGTCATGAGGACGGGCCATCGCCCAGTCCAGGAAGCTGCCCGCCTTTGATTTTTAGCACAGATAATTTTTAAAACTGCATTTTTTCGGCAGAGATTGCGTGGCTACCT